GTGGGAGGGGAGCTGCTGCATTGTAAATTTTGGTCAATGACATGAGACAAAGTATATGTGAACTGCTGTATGAAAAGTGAATTTACTCTGTAAATTTTCACCCAAATCCTAATAAAAAAAAAAAAAAAGAATATACACAGCAAACATATACACCAACTCAAGTTTCTACCTGTACATTTCCATGACATTGGTTATGTTGAGTTGTGCAACCATTCTCCTTCCTTTTCCAAGTTGTTACTCCCCCCTTATCATCATATCACTGTCCCCCGAGGTTCCTATCTAATCTTTGGAGTTGCTGTTGTCACTCTGATCTCATACCAACCAAACCAAACCAAACTCACTGCCGTCAAGTCGGATCTGATTCCTAGCGACCCCTCCTTGGGTTTCTGAGGCAGTTACCACTACAGAAGTAGACCGCCCAACCTTCCTTCTGAGGAGTGGCTGGTGTGTTTCAACCGCCAGCCTTCTGGTTAGCAGTCAGATGCCGTAGCAGTCGAAGCCACCAGATGGATCTTAATAGAACATTATGCTCAAGGCAGACATTCTTTACTCATTAAGCTAAACTACTGTTTGGTTTTACAGAGACTTCTGGGGATATTTTTGGTTTAAAATTTAAAGATTATCTTAGGGTAATAGTTTCAGAGGTTCATCCAGCCCCCATGGCTTCAGAAATTCTGGATTCCATAAGAATTTGAAATTCTGTTCTACATTTCCCTCCTTTTAATCAGGATTCTTCTATAGAGTCTTTGATCAAAATGTTCAGTAATGATAGCCAAGCACCATTCATTTCTTCTGTCTCATGGCAAAGGAGGCAGTTGTTCATGCAGGCAATTAGCCACACATCCCATTTCCTCCTCCTACTCCTGCCTCTTCTTCCTCTGTTACTCAGGCAAAAAAAGACCACTTGCTGTGCCATGGATGGCCACTTGCAAGCTTTTAAGATCCCACACACTACACAAAAAACTAGGAGATAGAAAGAAGTACTAAATACGTTATTAGGGCTAGAGTTCCATGAAACTGACCCTAAACCTCCAATTCAAGGAACCAAATCCCATGAGATGTTTGGTTTTACGTAAGCAGGCTCAGCAGCTACTTTTGTGTATGTATGGCACTGTTCCAAATGTATCTATCACACAACTTTGCCAATTCAACTTTTTGCAGGTGTATAATTTATTCACAGCAATTATATCAGTTATGCAAGCCTACCTTAACCAATGTGCTTTTTCCTTCACTGAAAACTGAAATTCAGTATTCCATAGCAACAGCTCTCCTTCCCCCTCCCTCCCATCCCTGGTAGCCACTAATAAATTTTGGTCTGTGTAAATTTCCCTCCACAGGGTTTCTAATGGCCGATTTTTCAAAAGTAGATTCACCAGCTCTTTCTTCTGCTTCACCCTTCAGGCTTGGGATTCCTAACAGCGTTTGTGCTCTGGCCACATATGAGCTGAAAGTTTTGGAACCAGAAGGAAACATGGACAAATGAACTCTGAGAAATGTTTGCAGTCATAACTGGATAGAAGCAGGTTTTTCATAGAGATAAATTCAGATATTCCACTAAAACAAATACAGGTTTTCATAAAAAATGACCAGAGTGCTATTCCAGGCAAAGGAAATCAAGGAGGTAAGTTGAACTCTCTTCTTCACCAAACTCTCACTTCTGGTGTCCCACACTGTTCTGTTTTTGCCTCAAGAACCCTCACCACTCTCTGGCTACTCCACGCGTTTGCACCCTCAGCCTAGGTCCTTGGTATCCGCCCACTGCTTACCCATCCGCTAAGCAAGGATGTGTGGCCTCTTTACACGGCCACACTCCCCAGTACCAGGCCCAGGCCTCTGTGTTCAGCACTGGGCAATGGAACGTGGGGCATCTGGCCATGCCACGCTCACCCCCTCAGCCATTACCTTCTCCGTCCACCTGAGGGATGCTCCGGAACAGGCAGTGTTGCTCGCGGATGAACTGCCCAGTCAGTTTGATGTCCACATCCACCTGGCCGACCCTGGGGAAGCAGCACCAAAACGCTGTGTGTGTGTCAGGCATTTCCAAGCTCCTCAGGAGCATGAGTTCATCCAACTCAATGAGCCAAGCCTCATTGCTCCTGTCTCACAGATCAGGAAACGAAAGCTCAGAGTGGTGAGATAACTTGCCCAAGGCCTCACAGCTGGGCACGGATGAACCTGGGATTGGAGCCCAAGTCTACCTGACTCCAAAGCCCACGTTCCTAAGCCATCACGTTATAGAACAAAGGGGGAATGTCTAGCGATTCCAGGTCACTCACTGAAAGGAACATGGCCTCTCAGCAGAGGCTCCTCCCTCCACCCTTAGGGTTAATCACCCTCATCACTCACTCTCCACCTGGTGGTGGGAGGGAAAGGGGCACCTTCAACCCTTTAACTACAGGAGGTGACCTCAGAGGCACTGAGCCCCGTGGGTTTGTTATCACGAACTGGTAAAGCTGCCTGCCTTCAGCTGCCATGTGGTTACTGCCCTTCAACAACATGGGGCTGGGGCCATGTTTCCTTTCTCTCACCTGGTGAGAGTCCCACCTGAAGGCAATGGTGTCAGGGGCTAGGAATGAAGTGGTATAAAATGTCTCCCACCATCTCTTCTGCCCCAGTAAATAAGGAGCAATCCTCATAAGTACTGAACCCATATGGTCCCAGGAGCCATCTCGCCCTAACCAAATGAGCAGGCAGGGGCAAGACGGCTGCTGGGCCCTCCCAGGAAGCCCAGAGAGCAAGCAGAGCTGTGGGGCAGCTTTCCAGAGATCTGTGGTGTCTCCAGTGAGGTCACCAGGAAAGGGAGTCCCCATCGTGGCTGCCCCTCTGCAACTAAACCCCAAAGGGAGAGGCTGCCCCTCAGGCCACGGAATAAATGCTACCTGGTGACGCCATCTTTGATGTGGTAGAGCAGACATTCGGACATCAGGGGATCTTCGTTCAGATTCACCAGGTGGGGAGTCTGAGGAAGAAGACAGGTGGTCAGGGGAAGAATCTTAAGAGCCAGCCAGGAGGTGCCGCAACAGGAATGGAGGGACAGCGCTTCCTAGACACCCCTCCTGGTTCCAGCACTGCCTGCCACTCTCCCAAGCCCTCACTCTTGGAGAACTCTACTGCCCTCATTACTGCCATTGTCCCTTCTGCCCTGAGGGACCTGAGGAATGACTGTGGTTCCCACCTCTTGCTTGTACCCATTGTCTCTGCTGACCAATTACCCTGGCCAAACCCACTCTCTCTTCACATACAAGGGGGCCCATAAAAATCACTCTCTCCCAAGTTAGCAACCTTTCCTGAGGCCATTTCTGTCAGAAGTACCTAGACCCACCAGTCCTCCTGACTAGAAACCTTGGAACCCACTTGTGCTCTCCTCTTCTTTCCCGACATCCCCTCTGTTCCCAGATTCCATCATTTCTTCCCTCCAAAAGATATCTTGCAAGTTCTGGAGAGTAAGACAGAGACTGGTACTGCCCACCTCTCAGTGCAGCTTGCATTTCTTATAAGCATGTATATTGGAAAAAAAAAAAAAAATTCACTGGCATCGTGTCAATTCCGACTCATAGTGACCCCCTTTGGGTTTCCAAGGCAATAAATGTTTACAAAAGTAGATTGCCCAATCTTCCTTCCACGGAGTGGGTTTGAACCGCCAACCTTCTGATTAGCAGTCAAGCACCTTAGGCTCCTTATGCACATGTATGGCTTCTATAATTAGAGCATAAAAATAAAAAAGTATCACTTCAATTTTCAAACAAACCCATGTCACATCAGACTCCTCCACTCCCTTCCAGCCACCGCCCCTCCCTCAGCCTGCTTCACCTGTGCCCAGATAACTGCACCATCTGCCTGGTGCTGTCCCTGCCAAGCTCACCCAACTCAAATCCATCCCTCACACCTGGCTGATCAAGATGCTGCTCCATGCTGAAAACTCAGCTCATTCCTATCCCAAAAATTATCTTTTCCTGACTTCTGTTTCTCCTGATACCCTTGCCCTCCACAAGCATGTTACTCTGAGCAGCACACAAGTTTTGTTCCCCCTACAGCCCCCTCAGGCCACTGGCTGCCACATCTGCTGCCTCAGCCCACCCCATCTGTCCACCCTACCTATACCATTCAGCCTCAGGTGGTGCCTGACTTCCTGCCATCTCCATGGTCTCCCAGCTCCCAGCTCATACCACATCATGGCCATTTCATTGCTTCTTGGCTCAGACATCTCTGGCTGGTAGCCATGGCCACCTGACTTCAACTCTACTTTGTACCCTGGCCTCCCAGACTCTATGTCAGGGCCAAGCCCCTTTCCCAGCCCCTCTCGCCTTCTCTGTGCTCCCACCCAGTGGACTGCTGAGCACTCACCCCAGAAACAGGCCTGCTACATCCCCAACCAGAGCCCTTCTCCCTAGAACATCCTCCCTCCCAGCCCCACCCCCACCTCCACCTATCAGAATCATTCACTCCCTTCACGTCCCTCATAGTGTCTCAAATGCCACTTCTTCCACGAAGCTTTCCTAAGCCTTCCAACCAAACACAAGATCTCCTGCCTCTGTCCTACAAGGATTTACTGTGGACTTTCTACATGCGAGACCCTGGTGAGGTGCTGGGTAGAACACAGAGATGAGTCAAACCCCAGGGCTGCTGTCACATCAGTAAGGAAACCAGAGTCAACCTGAGGAGATAAGAGTTGGCATGGAAACACTGTGACAAGTGAGAGGCTAATGCCTCGTAACAGCATTTCTGATCTTTTCATTCTCTCCCAGAGTTCATTTGTTCACTCATTCTTTTGCTCCCAGATTGCTGAGTGCTGCCGGGAGCTCCCGTGCAAAGACAAAGTGAAGAACTATGAGAGCTCAGGGGGATCAGGAGACTCTGTGAAAGACAGCACTTGAACTGGTCATTGACAGTAAGGAGAATGTAGACATGCAGAAGGAAGAGTGAGCCAGAAGAAGGAAGAGTCTCAACACAAGCCCAGAGGCAGGAAGGCACAAGGTGTTAAGGGAGAACAGCCAGTAGATGGGTCCCCAACCGTGGACAGTGAGCTCAAGGCTGTGCCTGGTGGATGCAATGTACATCCATGTGTCTGTCGCCCATGCTGCACCCCAATGCTTCACCTCCCCAGGGATGCTCAGGCCTCCTCCCCATACTGCAGTGCCAGACCTGCTCTGGGAATGGCAATACTGATGGGTTCTGGGAGCTGAAAAGGGTAAGTCTCCAGGGAGAGAGGACATGATTTAGGGCAGTGTTTTTCAATCTTTGCTCAGCCCTGAAACTCTTTGTTCACGTGAAACCTTACCTAGAAGGCCAGTACATAAAGCAGGTAAGGAGAGAGCTACTCAGGTCGAAGCTGGAGTTGGGACCCAGAGTCTACTCCTGCCTTTTCCTGCGGTCCCTGTGAAGAAAGCTCTAAGCCAGGTCTGAAAACCTGATTTAAGAAAAGTCCATAGGCCTGGTGGAGGGGTTCCAGAAAGAGGAGGCTTTCCCTAAGGGTCTTTCCTCTCTCCAAGACAAACTAGCTTTTCCCCTAGAACTCAATTCCCCATTTGATTACTCCTGGGTTGGAGACACCACTACCAAACCTATCCCATATAATTCTAAAACCTCTCCGTTGTGAAATACACATGCCTTTTAAACTATTAGAATTATATTCATCCACCTGGAGAAAAACGTAAGATTAAACTACTCTGGATACTTTTTTCACCAATCAGATTGCAAAGAGTCTGGTAACTCAGAATGCTGATGAGGGTGAAGGACTGCTGTCATGTTGCTCTTGGAAGTGCAGACTGGTAATGGTTATAACCTTTTAACTGGCTACCATTTGACCCAAAATCTCCTAGACAAGAGACCTATCTATAAGACTACCCTACCCCTTGTAAGAACAGAATATCTGCACAGGGAGAACAGTATTTGCACAGGGAGATAGCTCAGGGGGCAGGAATGCATAGGAAAGAAAGACACAGGGAAGAGGTAACTACAGGGAAGTGGGAAGAGAGCTGTTACCTTGTGAGGACTGCAGTCGATGTCATGAATATGAACTGCTATATGGAAAATGAATTTGCTCTGTAAACTTTCACCCAAATCACAATAAAACTAAAAAAACGAACAACTATCTCTTATAGCATTGTAGTAGCAAAGAACTGGAAACAATCTAAACATCCATGGTGGGAAGCTGATTAAACAAATTACCTACATCCATACAATGGAAAATTCTAACACTGTGGGGGGGAAAATGAGACAACTTCAATACCGGTATGAATAGAACTCAGATATGTTGTTATGTGAAAAAAGGAAAATGTAAGACACGCAGCCACTACTAAAAAGGGAGGATGTCTGTGTGTCTGTCTCTCTGTATGTGTACATTTATACAGTGAAACCTGTGAAAGCCAAACTCAACAGGACTGCCTTGTTTTTCCAGATCTCGCAAGCTTTCCACCTTTGACGGAATGCAGTCTTATCACTTTTCTGTTGTTTGTTTCAGTAGAAAATATTTCAGTTTTCCTTCTCTGACAGGTCTCTGCCTTACACAGGTTCTGGCTCTTGCAGGTTTTCAGTATAATCATATATATAAACCCACCGCCGTGGCATCAATTCTGACTCACAGAGACCTTACAGGACAGAGTAGAACTGCCCCATAGGGATACAAAAGCTATAAATCTTACAGAAGCAGATTGCCTCATCTGTCTCCCACAGAGTGGTTGGTGGGTTCGAACTGCCAACCTTTGGTTAATAGCTGAATGCATTAACGACTATGCCACCAGAGCTTCTAATTACATGTAGTACGTGCCTGCACAGGACTGGATTCTCTAGAAGAACACTTCAGGCACTGATAATAGAGGTTGCCTCTAGGAGGGAAGCCTGGGGCGGGGGGAGGAGGAAGGAGATTTACTCTTCACAGTACATACCTGTTAGCACTATTTGAATGTTCTTTCTGGTGTGTATTAACTTTTCAAAAGAATAATAAAAAACACAACAGAAATTCCCTCCCTTTGGTCTCTGGGCTTTGGCAGGTGGCATCTCCAGTGCTGAGTCAAGCCCTACAGGGAAGAAACTCCTAGCCCACCAGTTTCCCCAACCTTTCTGCCTTTTTTCTACCCCTGGTAGAAATGCCTCAGGTGCCAGATACCCTCAGGGGCTTGATAGCATGCTGAGAGTCACCTGCAGCACCTCCTCTTCTCTAGATCTGGCTGGGTCCTAGGAAGGTCTGGCTCCCTCAGAAGAACCCAAAAGCCCTGCAAGCCAGCCTTGTACCAGGCCCTTGGTGCCCCGCCTACCACTCTCAACCATCCACCACCGCTCTCCTGCTCCTTTGCTATGCCTCCCCCAGACCAGGCAAGCCCGACTCCTTTTTTCAGATCCCTGTTCAATGATCTCTGCTTGCTCAGTTGCCCAGATGGGCTTGACCTTACAAAACCAAGAACTGGACACCTCCGTCAGGTGGCCCCTAGTGACACTGTCTGCACCAGAGTCCAGTGTATCTGACTTGAGGGCCTGATCCTTTTCTGTTTCATACCACGGACCAAACAGGCTTGGCTGGTTCTCCTGTGATACTCGAAGTTCCTGCTCTGCTCAAAGCACACATCATCCATTTATCAGCACATACAACAGGTACAGCTGTGCAGGCCATTCACAGCCTCTGTCTGTTCTGATTGGTCGGCCCTTGGGCCATGCTGGTCATTAAACATTATTAATATCATCCCTGCCTCCAACTCAGCCTAGTTACTCCTGCTTCCTTCCTTTCTCTCAGCCAGGATTTACTGAGCACACGCTACATGGCAGGCAGTCACCAGGTGCTGGTGTGCCCCACCCAGCCCCAAACACTGCCAACACATCCTGTGTTTGCTTAGTCTGGTGATCTTCCTGCTCCTCCAGACCCCCTGAACCCAATTCATCTTTCAGGCTCCACTTTCCAAACCACCTTTTCCAGGAGACCTCGTCTATCTCCAGACCACACTGATGCTTCCATCTTTAAACCCCTAGCTGCATTTATGATCACCATCTTACAGTTTAGTGCTTACTCCTCCTCTATTCCCTTTATAGCCTTATGTTCCCAAATTATCCTTTTAAAAATGTTTTAAAAATGTACTTTTTAAGGTTGGTTGGTTTGGTTTTTTTGAGTAGGTAATACATGAACAGGGTACCAAGTTCCAATGATACAAGGGTATGTGGTAAGTCTCTTTCCCATTCCTGGGTGGTGCAAATGGTTAATGTGCTTGGCTATTAGCCAAAAAGTTGAAAGTTCAAGTCTACCCAGAGGCACCTGGGAAGAAAAACTTGGCAATCTACTTCTAGAAACTCAGCCATTGAAAACCCTATGGAGCACAATCCTACTCTGACACACATGGGTCCCATGACTTGGAAGCCACTCAATAGCAACTGGTTAACTGGTTTTCTCTAACTGGTTTCTTATGAATTCATTCAGAAATTAACTCCACATGTAAACTAACATACACATGTGTGAGTTTATGTTTGTAAAAATCTATTCTAAGCAGCTCTTGAAATTCCCCCAAAGGCAACCGCAGGAACCATCCTTGGTTCCCTAGAGTCCCTGGCCCCAGGTACTTCTTACACACTTGCTCTCTGGCTGACTCAGATGGACAGAGGGAGCAGACAGGGTGGTCAGACAATACAGAAAGGAGGTAGCAGAGGAGGGGACAGCGATAATGCAGAGGCAATTTAGAGACCTCAGGGGAAGAGACCAGAGACTCACCAACCTGCCACCCAACCCTGTTCTCTAAGCATCCTGAGAGCACCCTCCTTACCCAATCCTTCACTCACCTTCTTTGGAGAGAAGACGCCCACGGTTCCTCCATCCTCTCTCACGGCCACCCCCATCTCAGCTAGCAAGGCTTCTCTGTGGGCAAAAGAGAGGCAAGCATTGATCTTATCATTGAGAACCCCCCAACCTCCTTCCTTGGTGGGGCTTGACTTTTCCTCTCCACCTCACCCCTTCTAGGCCTGAGCTATCAGCCCCAACCCCTCATACCTCTCCATTCTCAGGGCTTCAGTCTTGCGTAGCTTTTCCTCCCAGGTCTCGTTCAGCTCAGCTATAATCTTCTCTGTCTCCTAGGGGCACAAGGATGGACAGAAACCAGCATAGTCAGGGACAAGCATCTACCAGGAGGGCCATACTACCCCTGGGATTCCTTCTTCCTCTGCAACCCCTGGCTTTAGAGAAATAAGTTCCAGGAGCCCCCAAACCCCATGCCTCTGTCAGCTCCAGCCTCCCACCTGCAGCCGCTCCATGGCCTCCTCAGGCCCAATCTGGGGCTCAGCATTAGGGGAGAATGACGGCTCCAGCTCTCCATTGTGTGTAGGGGGAGATGAGGGTGAAGGTGGAGCAGGGGAAGTTGAGATAGCCGGCAGAGCACCTCCAGGACTCCCCTCTTCCACCTTCAGGCCTAGGGCGGAAAAAGAAGTAAAAGAGCAAGAATGAGGAAATATGGAACTAATCAGATCACAGTGAGAGCCAGGAGCTTCACAGAGGACCAGTACGTACAGGACCGCAGAAGACATCTGGTCAACCTCCCACCAGGCAGGGACTCCTTCTACAGTTACTATGTGCTGTCACGTAGATTCTGACTTATGGCAACCCCACAGGACAAAGGAGAACTGCCCCATGAGGTCTCCTAGGCTACACTCTTTACAGGAACAGATCACCAGGTCTTCTCTCCCATGGAGTGACTGGTATGTTCACACCACCACCCTCTCAGTTAGCTGCCAGGTGATTAACCGTTGCACCCCCAGGGCTCTTTCCCCCTAGTGTTGTTACTGTTATTAGGTGTCATCCAGTCAGTCAGAACAAATGCTGCCTCGTCCTGAGCCATCCTGGCGCTTGCTACTGCGTTTGAGCCCATTGTTGCAGCCACTGTGTCAATCTGTTTCATTGAGGGTCGTCTTCTTTTTCAAACATGATGTCCTTTTCCAGGGACTGAGCCCTCTCAATAACATGGCCAAAGTATGTGAGACAAAGTTTCTTCATCCTCCAAGGAGCATTTTTGCTGTACTTCTTCCAAAACAGATGCAGTTGTTCTTCTGGCAGTCCATGGTATATGCAATATTCTATGCTAATGCTCTAATTTAAAGGCACAGATTCTTCAGTCTTCCTTGTTTATTGTGCAGATTTTGCATGTATATGAGGCAACTGAAAATATCACAGCTTGGGTTAGGAGCACCTTAGTCCTCAAAGTGACATCTTTGGTTTTGAAAACTTTAAAGAGTTCTTTTGCAGCAGATTTGTCCAATGCAATACATCATTTGATTTGCTGACTGCTGCTTCCATGGACAATGACTGTGGACACAGGTAAAATGAAATCCTTGACAATGTCGGTATTTTCTGTATTTATCATGATGCATATCAGTCCAGTTCTAAGGAATGTTGTTTTCTTTATGTTCAGGTGTAATTCATACTGATCTTCATCAGTAAGTGCTTCAAGTCCTCTTCACATTCAGTAAGCAAGGTTGTGTTATCTGCAAATAGTAGGTTGTTAATGAGTCTTCCTCCAGTCCTGATGCTACATTCTTCATAGAGTCCAGCTCCTCAGATTATTTATTAAGTATCGGATCGAATAAATATGGTAAAAAAATACAACCCTGGCACACAAATGGGCATCCAGTATCTGTTTGTACCCCTCCAGGAATGGATATCTCCCTGAAACAGCTTTTATTAAACAGAAAAGCAGAATTGCAACACAAGCTTTAAATGCTTGTAAATTAGGTCACAAAAGAGATGCAAAATGTTTGCAATATGACTATATGTATTCACACAAAGTCACTGAACAAATGATACTAACATCAATATAATCATAAGATTATTCCATGATTAAAAGTAGCTCAAATCTAATAACCATGAACTGTTAATCAATGGATCTCTCTTCCTATTATAATTAACATTTTAACATTACTTCTGATAATGAAATGGAATCTACAACTGAATTTTTAAAAACTGCTTAGTAAAAAGATGCCTGAAAATCTATAAACCAAACAGCTGGACTTACAGAAAATTCTGGGGAGAAGTGGTAAGATAAAATACTGAGATTATTAATATACATGAAAAATTTTCCCATTATGTTCATGATTCTGATACTAATACACTCTTAAGAGTTTTTGCAAAAGATGATCTTCTAGATGCTATAAATAAACTTTAAGAGACCAAACTCTTTGTAACTGTTCTCCTCCAGATGTGGTTTACATTATGTTGTTGTTGTTATGTGCCGTCAAGTGGGACCCACTCATAGCGATCCCTCTTTGGGTTTCCCAGGCAGTATCACTACGGAAGTAGATTGCCCCATCTTCCTTCCGATACATTATGTTAGTCAGACTTAATCCACGTTCATGTATGTTGTAACCCAAAAGACCTTATCTGTAGAGATGACAACACAAATCTGGAACAAAAACAGAGAGTTGGTCACTACTGCTTACCAACTATGTTTTCCACCCTATTCCTATGTTCCCCAAGATTTTTTTACTTTGAACACACAACTGGGAGCTCATTTTTTTCAGATACCATTTTTTGCAGACGGAAGTACTGAACAGCAAACCTTCCCAATTTTAAAATTCATAGTTTCAAAGAATAATCTTCATTTTTATAGTAAGAGAAAAAACAACAGCTCCTATCTTATTACTAAATATAACAAATGACAGGCCCTAGCTGAAAAAGTTGTTTTGATTAAGTTTCAATAATGAGTTCACATTACTCTCATAAAATATTAACTATTATTAAAATTACTTTTTATAAATGTGGAACTATCCTTTCTCCTAAGGGAAAGGAAAATGGGAAGGAAGAGGCAAATGGAAAAGAGGCACAAGATGGTGGACAGGTACATAAAAGCTGTGCATTAGCACATGACTCTGTCATTTTTTCACAACACAGTAGTTATTTTCTTGTATCATCTTTTACTATTCCTATAATGAGACAGTTCTAACCTAAAAAAGCAAACTGAAAAAAACATTCATTTTCAAGTTTTCATAAATATATGCAATTCTAATTATAAAGTCTCTACAATACATTTGCACATTTTCATAGACTAACATAATACACAAACTCAGAGAAGTCTGTTACGCTCTTAATTTTGCCTAGATCTGCCATTATCTTCATAAATATTCAATGACGCCCACAAACAAAGGTACTGTAACTTTTGAAATCTATCCAAGTTTTAAAGAAAAAATTCCAGCAGCAATTCCATAAAACACAGAGGACATCAACCTCTTACTTTCTTTTGCTCTTTATGTCAGTTGTTTGAAAAACACTAGAAGCTGATATAAGGTTTTCGATGTATTGTCCAAGAACTTGGTTTTCTGATTTTAGCTTCAGATTTTCTTCCTTAATTGCATCTACTCTTGCAGAAAGATCTTCAAGTGTGTGTTGGAATTCTAACACCTGATTAATAAGTCGTGTTTTTTCCTCCAGTTCTACCTGATTTTCAGCGTCAACTGCATTCATGTCAGCGTTCATCATCTTGGGTAACAAACTTTTGGGCCTTGGATACAAAATCCTTGATGAATGTCTGCTGTTTGAGGAGCTGGAGCGGGAAGGGGATATCTCATTTTTGAATGACCTAGTCCCTTCCACTGAGTTGAAATCTGCCTCATGTTTTTACTTCTGCTCCCTGGGATAAAAGAGACCTCATGTTTTTTTTCCTCTGCATGACAACCCTTCAAACGTTGGAAGGCAGGCATCAGTTCTACCTTATCCTTCTCTTGCCAAAAATTGACAGCTTTATTCCTCATTCTGTTCCATACATGGTTCCAAGTCCCTCAGCATACTGACTGTCCTCAATAGGACGGACCCAAGACTAAATGACATACTGGCCAATGTTGCTTACACATCTTCTCATATGGATGTTGCTTTGCTCAGTGAGGCTGTTATGTTATGTGCCACTGAGTCAGCCCCGACTCACAGTGACCCCTCCTTGGGTTTCTGAGGCGGTATCACTATGGAAATAGATTGCCCAACCTTCCTTCCGTGGAGTGGCTGGTGGGTTTGAATCTCCAGCCTTCTGGTTAGCAGTCAAGTGCTTTAGGCACTACGCTACCAGAGCTCCTATCAGTGAGGCTGAGCATTACATTTTAAAACTATTCCACTGTTATGCTTATGACCAACTAAAATCCTGACATTTCTACAAAAACTACCCCAAGGCAGGTACCCCACGAGCTTATTCTTTATGATTTATTTTTTTGAACCATAAATGCAAAACCTGGCATTTATTCCTGCTTCTGTCATTTTATTAGTTCCAGGAGCCTATCAAGGTCCCTCTGAATCCTGACTCTCCCTGAAGAATCAGTCCCTCCCAAACTTACAACATCTGAAGGCATGAGAAATCTCATCTCCACTGCAGCACCCACATCAGAGAGCATGACGGGCTTCATGGTAGGGAGTCCCTCCCTGGTCCCAGGATTAGGCAAAGGCAAGTGAGGCAGGACACTGCTGAGCTGCCCCTCCACTGGAAACCCTACCTCCCAGGGCAGAGGCTGAGAGCCCCTGAGCCATCAGAAGTTCCCGTAGCCGAGCCACCTCCTCCTGAAGCTCTCGGATTAGCCGGGCATTTGGGTCCTCATTGATGACGGCATTACAGCGGATCTGCTTGGTGCGATCAGCATACCTGGAGTGAGGAGGGAGAGACAAGGTGGGTGAGGCCCACAGGGGAACCCTTGGTCTGGGTTCTATTTCCTTCTCTCCTTCCCAGATCTCAAGATATTGGGACTGGGTTGAGGTCCACCATGTCTCATGTGCAGGATCCTGGGTAACCAGCCTCTGAGTTCCCAGCACTTTTCATATGCTGCCCCACACCTGCCAGAGCCTGAAGCCCCACCTGAGAGTGCTAAGAGTCTCCTCATAGTTGATGTCAGCAGGGCTCAGGGCTGCAATCATTGCTGTCCGTGAGTTCCCACCTACAATGGGAGACAGAAGAAAAGCTTCTGGTTCCTAAGAAAAGTCAGACTGGATCATGGGATCAAGTGAGCCTCAATGCCCAGGTAGGGTCTGACAGGGTTCCTGTCTGAGGTAGGATGAAGCTAAGAGCTGTGGAGCTAACCATGAAATCTGAGGGTCAGAGGGAGGGGAATGAGGTCACGGAGACATCAGGGATTGCTGGGGCAGTCACAGAGCAGTGGGAGGGGGATGAAGTCAGCAGTGGGTCAGGAGTAGCCAGGTCAATGAGGCCCTTGGCTTGGCAGAGGAAGTGAGGCCTTGATCTCAGCATCAGGAAGTCTTTGAAAGATTTTTCTTGGGCAGTGGGAAAAGTGAAACAAATGTGGGACAGTAGTCAGTGGGACAACTGAAAACTTGGGATTCTAGGGTGGCAAAGGGATTTGTCAGATGAATCAAAAGGAGTTAGTGGGATGGAAGCAGGGTCAGCAAAGAGAGAGAGGAGGAGCCCCTCACCCAAATTCTCCTTGAGCAGCCAGGTGAGCACAGAGTCCCTGTAAGGGATAAAATCCGACTTCCGCTTCTTTGATTGCTAGGGATGGAAGGGGGAGGGTCAGGGTGGGCCACCCCCTTTGCCTCCTTTCCCAGAGCCCCTTCGCTTCCTGACCCCCAGGCCTTACCATATCTGCAAGGGCCGAGATCACCTTCCCTAAAGTTGTCAGGGATTTATTGATGTTGGCACCTTCCTAGAAAGGAATGAGGAACATAAGGAATGAGAATCTCCTCTCCCAACTGAATCTACTTCCCCAACCTCCTCGGCCCAACCTGAGTCCCAGGTTAAGATGTGAGACCTCTGCACACAGCCCCAACACTGCCCTCTCTACCCTCCTAAGTCCCCTCACCTTCAGGCGCATGCCTCGGGCCCCCGAGGAGTCAGCTCGCTCACTCCCAGCAAGGTCCACCAAACTGATCTTACTAACCTGGGGTCAGAGGAAAGAGGCAGGAGGTGACTGGGCTCTGTGGGAGATGGGGCAAGGAAGCTGGGGGAATATCCGGCAGGATACTGGCAAAGGAGAAAAGCCAAGAGGGATGCGGAAAAGCAGCAAGAGGAAAGGGAAGACATAAAGGCAAGAGTGAGGAGCTGGCTACCCATTCATTTGTTCACTTATTCATTTACAGATGTTTATATGCCCATTATGTGTCAGGACAAGGGACACAGTGGATCCAAGCCCTGCTTTCAGATGTCTAATAAGAAGGAAAAAACAGCAAACAAGAGACTGTAGCACAGAGATCTGGTGGGAGGACAGGGAACTGCAGAAGCCTGAGGGAGGCACCCACCCAGCATGGTCAGAGAGTGAGGGACCCGTTACATCATAGCCCTGTCACCGGGGGGGGGTTGGTGATGGGGCTCCCACCTTCTCCGAGTCCAGCCCAGTAAGCTGATCATGGCTACGCTGTGTAAAGACAATGGTGAAGACAGCATGGGAACGGCTACTGGTCTCATTCATGTTGGTGGCAGCCACGGTCCTGGGAGGAGAAAGAAGGGTCAGTGGGGTCCTGCCTCTCCCCTTCCCAACCCTGGCTCCCTTTCCCTACAATCTGTCAGCCTGCCTCACCGCGCCTTATTGCCACAGTCCATGAGGTCAGCAATATCTGCATAGGAGGTCACAGCCAATTTAGACAGGTCCTGAACGTAGGGGCCGAGGATGGGGTGTTCCCGAACCCGCAGAGAGCCCCGACTCTTGGGGTTCAAGAGGTCTCGTACTCGTTCACAATAGATCTCCATATAGCTCACCTGAGGGAGAAGCAAACAAGAAATAACAAAGCTGCAACAATACTGACAAGGACACTAGCTCTAAACTCCATTGGACAGGTAATTGCAGCTAACATATAGTGAGCATTTCCTATGCACCAGGCATGATGCTAAGCATCTTGCATTTGCTTGCTCATTTGATTAAACAACCCTAGGAGATGGGTCCAATTGTTATCTCCATTTCACAGATGAACATACTCAGGTCCTGAGAGATTAAATCATTTGCTCGAAGTCACAGTTTATTAGTGGCAGAGCCAGGACTGGATCCCAGGCTGACTCCAGACACTGTCCTCAGTCTTATTCATTCGGGTCTCCTGCCTCCCTGCCCAGGGAAATCTCACCCTTCCCACACCTGCTACTGAGACCTAGGCTTACCTCCACAGAATAGGACAGCTGGGCACTCTGGTTCTTACTAACACGGGAGAAGAGGTCCTCACAGAGCTGGGGGAAGAGAGATGTACCACTGTAGCTTCTGTTCAAGCACACCTACTGCGTTCAGCACCAGGCCCAGCCCTGTCCCACAAGACCCTGTTTAAGCTTTATCCCAAACTTCGGAGGGAGGGATCACTGCCATTTTACAGATGGGAAAACTGAACCTTTGAGAGGTTGCTCAGGGTCACAGAGCTAGCATTCAGTATGCCAGGATGCAAACCCAGGTATCCTGACTCCAAAGCCTAAGCACAAGGCCCTATGCTACACAGCCCCAAACAATTATGGTCAATTCTTAACTATCCACAACCAGTGTTTTTTATAGGCAAAACCTTGACTACAGTATATAAACCTATGTGGGAATTAAACCCACAAGTAATTATGAGACAAACTCCAACAGTAGTAAATGGTAGAAGCAAGATTCAAGTCCAAGGCTCTCTGACTTGACTCTTTTACCTGAATCTTGCTGTCTCAGGTGGGGGAAAAGACCCTCTCCCCAAAGGGTCTAGGTTATAACCATACCCTCCATCACATCCCCTACCACCATCAGCCTCAGCCAGCCAGGTCTCTGCTCTACAATCCTTAGATCCTGTTCTTGTTCTCCTAGACAGTAGCTGCTGTTGCTCCCATTCTGGCTACCCTGCCAGGTTCCAGGTATGTACCTGGGGCACGATGCCCTGCTGCCCAGGGTCCTGCCGCCCCATCATGGTATAGGATTTCCCAGCCCCGGTCTGCCCATAGGCAAAGATGCACACATTGTAGCCTTCGAAGGCATGGAGCAGCATTTCTTCTCCAATGTCCCGATATACCTGTTGCTGAGATGCAAACTGGGGGTCCTCGATCTGTGGAAGAGGGTAGAAAAAAACAGCAAAGAGCCCTGGATGACTGTATCCTTAGTTTCTAGATCCTAAGAGTCCTACCCTCAGTATCAGTGACTGCCCAAAGGTCTTGCCCACCCCGCCAATCATGTCTTAATCATCCCTGAAAATCCTACCCAACTCCCTGCCAATCCTAATTACCCCAAGGGGTTCTGCCTCCCCCATCATGTTCCCAATCACTATCTAAGGATCTTGCCCACTAATCCCCACCCAGGGATCCTAGTCCTCCCAACCAAGCCCCTGGAAGTCAATTTCCCAGCAATGTCCCCTCCCCAGGACCCAAATCCCCCACTCCCCACTGCTTAGCTCCTTCTCTAGTCCAATGAACTTACGGAGGTGTGTGACCAGTAGGAGTAGTCGAAGGTGAAGCTTTTGGGGGCATCCTTGCCCTGTTTGGGATTGATGATAGCTGAGAGGGCAGGAGAAGGCAAAGAGAGGAAGACCAAGGTCAGGTACTCCCAACCTCTGCCCATACCCCACAAGACCCTGGAATCCAGGTGCTCACTCTCCACCTCTGTCCTAGTCATCTCTCCCCTTTAATACTCCCCACCCCCTCCAGTCACCAAAGCTAATTTTGGCTTCCTAGGACCCGCCCCCACCGAGCTGCCTCTCTGGATTGGGCAATGGAGGGCTCTAGGCCAACAGTTCCCCTCCCAGGGGCACAGAAAGGCCAGCCTGCCCCAGCACCACCCTTACACTAGCACCTGCTCTGTGCCCAGCACAGCCCTGCCCCTAGTTTGGCCTGGTGGGACTAGCTCGTGTGGTAGACACAGCTTTCCCTGCCATGCCTAGCCAGGCTCTGGGACACACTCACAGGTGGTATTGCCCTGCATGCTGACCACACACTTGGCATCCTGGCTGGTCTCACGGGCGTTGAAGGGCCGAACCCTCACTGCCACTTTCACTGAGGCACCAGCCATGGTTCCAGATACTCCCACCCTCCTCAGCTGGAGGACAGAGAAGAAAAGGGTGGTTAGAGCTCCTCAGGGGACCTAGACATTGCCTCCTAACTTCTTCTAAGAACCAAGCTTCCCATCCTCTTTCACCAGCTATGTAGCCTTTCAAGGACCCAGTTCCTACTCCCCTGGCCTACCTCCCAAATGTCACTCTCCTGAGGGAATCCCAAAGATGTTCCTGCCTCTTTCCCCAACCATATCCCAGCTTACAGAGACCTGGGCATTCAGCTCAGTTACCTGGTGTCCTGGCCCCAGATCAGTGGGGCTGTATCAGTTCTGGCTGCCACCGGCCCTCGTAAGGGGAGCCCCATCCTACGTTTGGGCCTGGCCACGCCAGCTGGGGCTGTGTGGGGAAGCCCTGCTTGTGGGGGAAAAATGGTTAGAAGGCACCTGTGGCTCCAGAGGTCTGTCAGGAGTTGGGGGGCATTGTTGTTGTTGTTGTTGTTATGTGCCGTCGAGTCGGCCCCGACTCATAGCGACCCCTCCTTGGGTTTCCGAGGCAGTTATCACTACGGAAGTAGGATTGCCCAACCTTCCTTCCGAGGAGTGGCTGGTGGGTTTGAACCGCCAGCCGTCTGGTTAGCAGGCAAGTGTCTTAGCCACTATGCTACCAGAGCTCCCAGAATTAGGAAAGATTAAGGATGGCTGCCCCTCTGAAGTGACCGAATGCAATATGAATCCAAGGGCAGGGACGGTGATATTTTTATTCCTCGTTACTCACAAGTGTACTGAACGTTCAGATAGAGAAGAGAGAGAGAGGCGCTGGACAGAAGGCAACTCAAAGAGAAGGAGGCATGGCCTGAGACAGAGTGCTGGGAATGGGGTGAGGAAAGGCAGAAAGCCACAGGCACCAAGAAAATGAGAGAGAAGACAAGACTGAGGTCAGGCTATGAAAGAACACTTGGGAAGAGGAAAGGAAAGAGAGACACAGGACATCACACAGCGATCATCAATAGGCAAGAAGGGGAGCTCTGGGGCAAGACCTCCAATCAGGAGCCCAGGAGAGAGGACAGGAGTAAATCCCAAACATAGAACCTGTCCTAAACTCCCCACAGGACCAGGAAGGGGGAAGTAGAAACCAGCTCCCAGCTAGTGCCCACACACATCCATCCACACATGAGGGAGGGAGAGCTAAGGAGCAAAGTCCAAGAGCTGGAAGTGAAGCCGGGAGCTGAGATCCACAGAGCCTGGCTCATGGGCCCCAAACCCCTTTTGCCCAGCCCCCCACACTTCCTCCCCAGGATCCAGGACAATGGGCTGGGGAGGGTGGGGTCATCCTGTATCCATCCCTACCAACCCCCAGGGCTGCTGTTGGGGACCCAGAATATTTGTGGCTTCATGAGAGAGGGGACCCTGGACGACTCCCCAAATGGGGAGGGAAGGTAAACGAAGCAGGCAATCCCAGCCCCAGCCTGGGGCTACTGCTATGGCGTCTGCTGCCCTGAGGAAGATGCCAGGCTGGAGCCCAGGAATGTGGGTGATCGGGTGCCCACACCCAGGGAGGAGAAGCTGAGTAGCCCACGCCCACGGACAGCAGGGTGGAGGACTGTAAGGAGGGTTCAGGGATGCCAAACTCCTAACAGCCCCCAAAGACCCCAAGCCCTGTCATCCTGGGCCTCGCCTCACCAGCCTTCCAGGGCTGGCCGTGAGAGAGTTGATGGACCTGGTCAGTCCCAGGACAGGAAGGGAGCAGCAGTAGATCACAGAGGCAGTGTCAGGAAATAGAGCCCTGACCCCCCAGACTCAGGGAAAGGGCATTGGCAGGGAAAGGCACTAGTAGTGCAATTGCAGGCTAATGTGGAAGGGAACGGGGTGGCACGACTGGGGAACAGCGAAGTAAAGGAACGGGGGGAGGGGGGGCATAGGGACAGGGGTCAGCCGGTGCAGCGTAAAGGTACAATGGGATACAGGGAGAAGAAGCCCGCGGCCGGGGTGGGGCCGACCGACCCGAAAGGGAGCCTCGGGCCACCTGTACTCTACCCACCCGGCTGTTCTCAAACAGGCCTCGGTTCCGGCCTCTCTGAGCGCCATGAGGACCCGGTCCTCCTGTCCAGTCAACCGACGGCCGCCCCGGGCCTGGCACCTCTCTCCGCCTCCGCGGGACAAACAGCACATGATTCCAGCTCTCGCGCCCAGCTGGCCCTCGCCGGGTGGTGCAACCAGGGACCCCAGCTTCCCATCCCTCAACTCGACACATTCCTCCGCGGGCACCTCTTCCCTCCCCTCCCCCTAAGCTCTCACCTCGTCGCAGCAGGGCTCCCGGACCAGCTCAGCCGACTGCAAAGGGACAAACTTTCCGCTCAGCGTGGGACGCGAGCCGGGG